AAAAAGCGTGGGGTGGGCAGGCCACGGCACGGGAAGAGGGCACGGGACAGGGAGAAGGGAGGGGGCACGGTTGGTGGGAATAAGCGAGGGCGGCGGCGAGGGAGGGGGCGAATGGGGAGGGGGGGGAGACAGGGAGAGGAGGGCGGAATGGTCGGTCGGAATAAGCCAGGGGGGGGCACGGGACAAGCAGAGGGGAGGGGGACGGTCGTTGAAAAAGCCGAGGGGGGGGGGGAAACGGAGGACGCGGGGGCGGGGGCCCGGTCGGTCAGAATGAGGAAGGGGGGGCGATGGGGGGGGAGGCAAAAAAGGCCGCGGGACGGGGAGAGGGCGCGGGACTGGGAGAGGGGAGGGGTCGGTCGGAATACGCCGGGGGAGGCGAGGGGAAGGGAAATGGAGAGGGGAGGGGGGCGGAATATTGGAGAGGAGGGGGGCACGGCCGGTCGGAAATAAGCCAGGGGGGGTGAGGGGAGCACGATATATACATATAGATATTAATTATCCTGAACAATTCCCCCGACCCTCGTCCATGGGGACCTGCCAAATGGAGCCCGAGCAGATGGATTCGGAGCATAGCGCCACATCGCCGATGCATCGGCGATGCGGCGGCGATGTATCAGCAACGTCGGCGATGCATCGTCGCCGTAGGCTTGGAGAAAATCAGGCTCCAAGCTACGCCGCATTGCTCATGCATCGGCGGCACTGAGCGATTCTCCGACCGTAGGCACGTCCTGCTACCATATAAAACGCTGATGAGGGAACAGAGAGAGACCTTTTTGCACCTGGCGACCCTGGGCCACGAACAGGTTCTCCGACCTGGTCCGAAGGAACGGCCCAACACTAGAAAACAAAATGGTTCCGCGGATTTCTTGAATCTGCGCTGGACGCGCGGAGCGCGCCAGGGGCGGCACCGGAGGCGCCGCCAGGGGGGTCAAGCGCAGATCCAAGAAATCAGCACGGAGCACCGAAAGTTGATGTGTATGCCGTTTGTTCCTCTTCGAAACAGCCAGAGACCCTCCTGAGCCCAGTGGTCATTCCCTCATCGTCTTGACCGCATGCCCTGGCCCCACGTGGGAGACCTGGAGTCCCCGAGGAGCCCCGGGCGCCGCCGAGCTGGGGGGGCGGGTCCTCGTAGAGGCAAGCCTGGTCCTCCGCCTTCAGAGTCCCCTGGGCGCGCTGCTGGGGCGCGGGGGGGCGCAGGGCAGGACTGAGCAGAGCGCCTCGCTCGCGCTGACCTTCTCCTCCTCCTCCTCCAACTCCTGCACCTCCCCCTCCCCTTCCCCCTCTCTCCTCCTCCTCCTCCTCCTCCTCCTCCTCCTCCTCCTCCACCTCCTCCTCCTCCTCCTCCTCCTCCTCCTCCTCCTCCTCCTCCTGCTCCTTCTCCTCCTCCAACTCCTCCAACTCCTCCAACTCCTCCAACTCCTCCAACTCCTCCAACTCCTCCAACTCCTCCTCCTGCGCCTCCTCCTCCTCCTCCTCCTCCTCGTCCTCCTCCTCCTCCTCCTCTTACGCCTCCTCTCCTCCTCCTTCATCCTCCTCCCTCCCTCTTACGCCTCCTCCATTCTCCTCCTCCTCTCCTCTTCCTCCTCCTCCTCCTCCTCTTACTCCTCCTCCCCTCTCCTCCTCTCAACCTGCACCTCCCCCTCCCCTTCCTCCTCCGTCCTCCTCCTCCTCCTCCTCCTCCTCCTCCTCCTCCTCCTCCTCCTCCTCCTCCTCCTCCTCCCCTTGTTCTCATTACGCGTATGCCTATGATGAGTCGCATTATTGTTATTACTACTAACACGAATATATAGTATGCTTCGTATTCGTGCTATTACGGCGGATTACTACTAGTACTCGTCGTGATAGTCGTGTTGTTATTATGAGTATGATTTTGAGTTTGGCGTGTTGGAACCAGGATTTGCAATCGTGTTCATATGTATAAGTTAGAACTAATCTTAAGCTTCGTGATATTAATATATGTGTATTGGTATACGTGCATGTATTATTAGTCTTCCCAGTGTTCGCAATACTCGTATTACGAATATGTTTCACAACAACATTCATAGTATTACGAGTCGCAGTATAAGTATGACTAGGAGTATGAGTATGATTATGAGTATGCCTATGCTTGTTGGTATGATTATGCCTGTGGTTGGTTCTTCTTACTGTGAGTACGAATCGCTCCACTATTCGTGCTGTTCGAGATGTTCGTCTTAGTAGCTGTATCAGTAATTAGTATTCAGCTTAGTGTTGTTATTCGTAGTACAGGTATCATTAATAGTACTATTGGTATTCCTCCTCCTCATCCACCTCCTTCTCCTTCCCATCCTCCCTCCTCCCCCACCTCCTCCTCCTGCTCCACCTCCTGCTCCTCCTGCTGCTGCTGCTCCTCCTCCTCCTCCTCCTCCTCCTCCTCCTCCTCCACTTCCTGATCCTCCCTCTTCTCTCCTCCTCTCTCGCCTCCTCTCCTCCTCCTCCTCCTCCTTCCCCTCCTCCTCCTCCTCCTCCCCTCCTCCTCCTCCTCCGCCTCCTCCAGCATCCTCCGCCTCACTCCTTCCCTCCTTTCCATCCTCCTCCATCCTCCGCCTCCTCCCTCTCTCTCCCTCTCCTCATCCTCATCATCATCATCCAACTCTTGTCCTCGTCCTATCCTCCCTCCCCTCTCTTTCTCCCCCTTCCCCTTCTCCTCCTCTTCCTCCTCTCCTCCTCCTCCTGTTTGACCTCCTCCTGACCTCACTCCTCCTCCTCCCTCCCTCCTCCCCCCTCCTCCTCCTCCCCTCCTCCTTCTCCTCCTCCTCCCTCCTCCTCCTCTTCCTCCCTCTCCTTCACTCCTGCCTCTTCCTCCTTCCCCTCTCCTCCTCCGCCTGCTCGTCGTCCTCCTCCTCCTCCTCCTCCTCCTCCTCCTCCCCATCCTCCTCCTGTTCCTCCTCCTCCTCCTCCGGTTCCTCCTTCTCCCTCTGTTCACGCTTTTCCTCCTCCTGTTCTTCTCATTGTTCTTAATACGGACGCCGTGTGCACGTCAGAGGTGCATGAGCAGGAAAAGTGCTGCCGGCATGACCGCCGCCGACCGCAATGAAACGATGCGACAGGCAAAGCTCTCTCGGTATCCCCGTCCCCACGGGCAGGGACCGTCTAAAACTCGAAAAAGCCCGCAGGTGGACGACCCGGAGAGCCCGCAGGTGGACGACAACTCAATATGCGTTGTGGGTTCTCGCCTTTTCGAGCTCCCGACGCTCCAAGACGGCCCGAGGGGTCCTCAAGGCTCCTCCGAGATGGCTCAAGAGGCCCCCAAGAGGGCTCCCAAGACGGCCCAAGAGGGCCCCAAGACGGCCCAAGAGGCACCCCCAAGACTGCCCAAGAGGGCCCCAAGAAGACGGCCCCCCGAGGCCCGAGAGTGGGAACGCGAACCAAAAGAAGTCGAGCCCTCTGCCCCAAGAGGCCCACAGCAGGCCCCATTCGGGCCTTATCGAACACAAGTGACACCCCGAGTGCTGCGATGGCACGGCGGCGGAATTGCCGGATGCGGCTGGCTATCGCTGAAGCCTGCGATGGACACGAAGAGGAGGAAGAGGAGGGGGGACAGGAGGGCGAGGTGGAGGAGGGCGAAGCCGAGATGAGGATCGTGTGGGGTGATGACTGTGACAATCGAGGAGCAAACAGACTCCTCAAGAAACAGTTTTCGAATGTGCACGCGGACTTCTTGAATCGGCGCTTGGTCCCCTCCCTAGCGCAAGGAGCACGCTAGGGGCGGCGGCTGAGGCGCCGTCAAGGGGGCCCAGCGCCGATCCAAGAAGTCCGCGAGGACGACCAAATATATGATTGTGCCGATTGCACCGTTCGAGGAAGAGGAGGAGGACGAGGAGGAGGAGGAGCAGGAGGAGGAGGAGCAGGAGGAGGGGGGGGAGGAGGGGAGTGTGGGAGGGGGTGCGGGATGGGGATGGGGATGAGGACAAGCACGATGAAGAGGAGGAACGGCTGCAGCGGCAGCAGCGGCGGGCCTTCACAACCACCTTCGCAATGGAGCCGTTGGCCTGAGCCAGCGGGCACGGGGCCCCGGTGCAGAGACACCAGGAGGAGAACGTAGAGCTCAAGCAGCAGAAGGAGGAGAGCACACAGTGGTGAAGAAGGACACACCGCGGTGGAGGAGGACACACCGCGAAGAGGGGACTGGAGCACGGGGGTGCAGGGGGCTGCAGGGGGGTGCAGGGGCCAGAGCGAAAAAAGGGCAGCCCAGCTCGCGAGCAAAGAGCCCATGACGCACTCCCGGGTGAGGCGGTGGAGTGGGCTCCATCCTCCTCCTTCTCCTCCTCCTCCTCCTCCTCCTCCTCCTCCTCCTCCTCCTCCTCCTCCTCCTTCTCCTCGTCCTCCTCCTCCTCCTCCTCCTCCTCCTCCTCCTCCTCCTCCTCCTCCTCCTCCTCCCCCTTGAATCGTTGCACGCTCATCTTCTTCTTATTCTTATTATTATTATTCTTATTATTATTCTTCTTCTTCATCTTCATCATCATCATCATCATCATCATCATCATCATCATCATCAGAATCATCATCGCCATCGTCATCGTCATCGTCATCATCATCATCATCATCAGCAGCATCATCATCATCGTCATCATCATCAGCCTCATCATCATCCTCATCCTCATCCTCATCATCATGATCATCGTCATCATCATCATCGTCATCTTCAGCATCAGCATCAGCGTCAGCGTCATCATCATCATAATCCTCATCGTCATCAGCATCATCATCATCAGCAGCATCATCATCGTCATCAGCAGCGTCACCACCACCACCACCACTACACACCCACCAGATCATCATCATCAGCATCATCAGCATCATCAGCATCATCAGCAGCAGCAGCAGCGGCGTCATCATCACCATCATCACCACCACAACCACCAGCATCATCCTCAGCATAATCAGCATCGTCATCAACCTCAGCATCATCCTCATATTCATCATCATCAGCAGCAGCATCATCATCATTATCATCATCATCATCATCATCCTCATCATCATCATCATCATCATCCTCATCATCTGAATCATCAGCATAATCATAATGAACAGCGTCATGCTCATCATCATCAGCACCATCATCATCATCATCATCATCATCAGCAGCAGCACCATCATCATCATCATCATCATGATCAGCATCATCATCAGCAGCATCATCATGGTCATCAGCAGCATCATCAGCATCAGCATCAGCATCAGCTGCATCAGCAGCAGCATCAGCAACAGCATCATCAGTATCAGCAGCATCAGCATCATATTTCTCAGCATCGTCAGCATCATCATCATCATCTTCCTCAGCATCAGCATCGTTGTCATCATCAGCACCATCTTCACCATCACCATCATCTTCATCATCATGATCAGCATAATCAGTGTCCGCATCATCGTCAGCATCATCTGTATCCAGAATCATTAGCATCAGCATCCGTATCATCAGCATCAGCCTCAGCATCATCATCAGTATCAGCATCATGAGCATCATCATTACCCGCATCAGCATAAGCATCATCATCAGCATCAGCATCAGCATTATCATCAGCAGCAGCATCATCCTCATCGGCAACAGCAGCATCAATAGTATCATCGCCATCAGCACCCACACACACACACACACACACGCCACCCCCACCCAAAAAAAGTGTTCTGGGCGGATGGCCCGCATTTTTTTGTTTCGGGGGCGAGAGAAATAACAAAACACATCTGGGTCCGACTCTTCGCACTCATCGTCCTGCCAATCTCCCTCCCCCCCCACACACACACACACCTCTTCCCACCCCCGCTCCTCCTCCTCCTCGCTACGGAGGAACCCTACCAAGGATCCCATGTTATAACGCAGAGCTTAAAAGTGTTTACCAAGGCCTTGCACTGCTTACCAGGGCTCCGCAAAGCTTACCAAGGGCTTACAGCGGCTTACTGAAGCTTACAATGGCATAGCAAAGTTTAGCAGGGCCCAGCTGAGCGGCGTAGCAAGGCTTAGCAGATACTGCCAGGGAGTAGCAATGCTTAGCAGAGCTTAGCAATACTTAGCAAGGTCTACCAGGGTTTAGCTAGGTTGAGCAACCTGTCCCAGGGCTGAACAGACCGTGGCACTATGTATCCACACTTAGGGGCGTACAAGAGCTTACAAGGATTCGCAAGGTTTAGCACAGCCTAGCAGGGCTGAGCAAATATTTGCAGAGATCAGCGGGGTTCAGCAAGGCTGACCAAGGCTTACCAGAGCGTAGCTGCACCCAGCTGAGCTTGACAGAGCTTAACAAGGCTGGGCATGGCATGGCAATGCTTAGCAGGGCTTACCAGGGGGGTACCAAAGCTGAGCAAGACGTGGCAAATGCTACCAGTGCGTGCTGGGCTTACCAGGTCTGAGCAGGCAAAGATGACAATCTAATGTCAGGCTGAGCTGACTAGTGATGCTGCTGTCAAACTGATGGCACAGCTTAGGGAGCGAGGGGAGATAGATAGAGAGAGAGAGAGAACAACACGGGAAAAGCTTTGCTAGGCTGAGCAACAGTTACCAGGGCCCAGTACGGCTGAGCAGGGCTGGGCAAGGCTCACAAAGCTAATCTGAGCTTAGCAAGGCTTACCAAGCTTATCTGAGCTGAGCAAGCCTTACCAATCATAACAGGGCTTCGCAGAGCTCACCAGAGCTTATCAAAGCTTACCAGAGCAGTCCCCAGCAAGGCTTACCAAGACTTAGACGGGCTTAGCAGAGCTTGCCAGGGCTCAGCAGTGCTTCGAAGGCTCAGTAGGGCTTGGCAAGGCTTACACGGCCTGAGCAGAGCTTAACGAGACTGACCAAGGTTTAGCAAGACTTACCAGGTCTTCGTAGCAAAATTTAACAGGGCTCAAGGTTTTGCAAGGATTAGCATGGTGTCGCAAGTCCCATCAAGGCTTGTCAAGCTCTGCTGGGCGTGACAAGGTTTACAGAGCTTACCAAGGCGTAAGCAGAGCTTACCAGGTCGTAGCAAATCTGACCGAAGCATAGCAGGGCTCAGCAGGGCAGGCCAGGACTTAGCAGGGCTGTGCAGAGCCTGCCAGGGCTTAGAAGTGCCAGATGCTGAGTACCACGATGAAGAGAACGAAAGAAGCACGAACACACTGCAAACAAAACGCTCAAAATAGAAAGGGCCACAACAATCCCCCGGCCTCGCCTCCTCCTCCTCCTCCTCCCCCTCCCCACCTCCTCCTCACCTCCTCCTCACCTCCTCCTCCTCCTCCAAATCCTCCTCCTCCTCTTGATCTACCCCATCCTCCTCCTCATGCACTTCCTCCTCCTCATCATCATCATGCTCCTCCTCGTGCTCCTCCCTGTCAGTGGTAAGGATGGCGCATGCCAAGAGTCTGGCTAACACTACTACTAAGAGTTACACTACGAATGTCCCAAATGAGTCCTGCTAGAACCCCTACTAGTCCTGCCAGGACCCATGGCAGTGAGACGAGGAAGCATACGAGGAGTCTCGCACAAGTTCCACTACATGGAGTCTTCCTGAGACTCGTGCTTGGACTCGTACTCGGACGCGTACCAGGAGACACATGAGGCGATGCATCAAAAGTAGGAGTCCCGCTAAGACCGGCGCAGACGCCCACATAGACATAATACTAGGACTCTGTCTTCATCCTACGCAACCTCTCGACAGGCCCTCGAGGCCGTCTCGGGGGTCTTTTGGGATTATTATGGAGCCCTCTTGGCACTCTCCTGAGGCCCTCTTGGACTGCTTTAAAGCCGCTTGGGGCAGCCTTGAAGCCACCAACTGAAGACCCTCGCGGGGCAACTTCTCCGTCTAGTTCAAATGTTGTCTAAGACCGTCCTGGTCGATGCAAGGACGCAAAAGAGGCAACGCAAACAAACTTGAAAACATGCCATAATCAATGGTTTGGGTTTCCCGGGTGCCTCGAGGGGTTCTCTCCTGGACTGCTCTTGGGACGTTTCGACATCGTCTGGGGCAACAGTGAAGCTTTACTCGGCCGCGCTTAGGTCCACTCAGACCGCCGTCTGGGCATCTTGGGCTGTCTGGGGACGTCTGTGGGCCGCAAGGGGGACGATCTCGTGTTCGGATCCTGGTCTCAGGTCGGGCATGTCCCCCTACAGGCGGATTTTGGAGGAATCCTCTAAAATAGTCACAACAACATCGGAAAGTGTTAGAATAATAGAATGCTCTACAACAAAAAAAATGAGGGACGTGCCCGACTTAACGCAAGGGGGGGCGAACTCGTGTTCGGGTCCTGGCCCATGGGCCCTGGCATCCCCGTCCCGTGGTCGAGGCCACGGCCCGAAGGGCCCCCTGTTCCTGGCCTTAGGTCGGGCGTGTCCTCCTACAGGCGGATTTTGGACGACAATTAAAAGTAGTCAACAAATATTCGAAACATGCTCAGAAAAAGATTGAAAAATCGTCCCCAGACTACGTTTGTACTACGTTTGAATATTCTCCCGGTAGAGGGACAGGCCCGACTCAACCCTGGCCCTGGCCCCCCGCTGCGTGAGGGAACTCAGGGCGGGAGAGCGAATTTAGAGAAAGAACAACAGGGCTGGACCTAAATGTTGTTTTTCGTTGTGTTATCGTTTTGTTGTTCGTTTTGCTCTACCTGTGTTCCTGTGCCTCCCTCCCGAAACGAAGAACACAAACACACGGCCGAAGTCCGCCCAAACACCGTTTAGGTCCAGCCCTGAAGAACAGACTGCATTCGGAGGTCCAGCCCTGGAAGAACAGACTGCATTCGGGGGGCGGAAAGTGACCAGCGTTACTGTTGCCAGTATTTTGTTTCCCGTGCCTGTGCTCGGGACAGCGGGCGCAGTGGAGCAGAAGGAGAGATGTGGGCAAGCGCAAACGCTGGTGGAGGTCCGCGCAGAGTCCTTAAATCCGCGCTGGACCCCCACCCTGGCACGAGGAGCGCGCCCGGAGCGGAGATGGAGGCGCCGTCAGGGGGGGGGGGCCAGCGCCGATCCAAGAAACCCGCGCGGAGTTCCAAAAGCGAATAGTTATGCCGTGGGTTGCCCTTCGAAAACGGAGGC